CTGACTCCTGGTGACCCTGCACAGGGTTTCTAAGGAGTGATTAGTGAGTTTGAACTGCTGATCTTATGGTTCAAACCCCCTTTGCAGTGCAGCACCACACCAGGACTTTAAAGTGTTAAAAAACAAAGATGTTATTTTGAGGATTGAATTGGACCTGGTCCAAGCCATAGTATTTTCAGTTGCCTCATATGCATGTGAAAGTGGGACAGTGAGTGAATAAGGATGACTGGAGAAGAATAGATGCATTTGAATTATGGTGTTAGTGAAGAATATTGAAGAAACCAGGGATTGCTAGAAGGACTAACAAATCTATCTTGGAAGAAGTACATTCAGAATGTTCCTTGTAACCCAGGATGGCGAGACTTTGTCTTTTGTGTTTTGGACATGTTGTCAGGAGGTACCAGTCCCTGAAGAAGGACATCATGCTTGGAAAAGTGGAGGGTCAGCGAAAAAGAGGAAGACCCCCAACATGATGCATTGACATAGTGGCAGCATCAATAGGCCCAAATATAACAACAGTTGTAATGATGGCACAGAACCAGGCAGTATTTCCTTGTTGGGCAGTGAATTGCTATGAGTCGGAACCAACTCATTGACACCTAACAACAGTTTTCAGAAGTAGATCTCTAGGTCTCTCTTCTTAGTTTGAATCTTGTTCAAGAATAATAAATATAAACGTCAGTAAAGTATCACATATTACTGTTTGAAAATAATGGAAATGGAAATAGCCAAGCTACAAAGAGCCCTGTGGTTGCATAATGTTGACACATGAAATAAATCCCTTCTTCATAGATATTCCTGTTGTTCCAAAGCAGCATTACAAAGCTATTCCTCTTTTAGTTTAGGGTTTGGATATGACTAGTCCCTGGAGAAAGACATCATGCTTTGACAAAGTGGAGGGTCAGTGAAAAAGAGGGAGTCCCCAGTGAGGTAGATTGGCACAGTGGCAACAGTAATAGGCTTAAGTGTAACAACAATTTTGAGGATGGTGGAGAACTGGCCAGTGTTTCCTTATAGGGTCACTATGAGTCGATGTCACGTAAAAATAACAATAATATTCTAATCTGAGGCCATAATTGAAAAACTTTAATTGCATGTTATTAATAGTTTTATGTCATTCAAATGAGCTGTTATCTTGTGTTCTCTGTTAATCATGTGTAATTCTAATAGTTTTGTATGAGAGTTAATAAGACTAATCTTATTTAATATACTGTTTTGAGTTACTAAATGGTTTGATGTCTAGTCAATAACTAAGAACTGCTGCTTTGCCATTCAAGTTAAGATAAATCACAATTGTTGAGTGCTGCTGGTTTCATCATTTATTAAATGTGCCCTCCTCCTCACTGATCAATCTTCTTCATGGTGTGAGAGGCAACTGGACTACTTTTCAGTTTCTCCTTCATTGCCGCGTATTATCCATACTTAATGCATCCTTTCTTGTTGTTAAATTAATAGTTGATGCTCTTCAGATATAAGTTAAAAGCTCTTAACGAGTTTTTCTACCATAAAAATAGATGCTATAGCACTTTGCATGTATTACCAGTTATCCTTTTAAAAAATTATATAGAATGTTTTATAATATACTATAATACTTATTTTAGGATGAAGTAAGTTTCAAAGACGTCATCTAACTTTTTTAGAAAGCAAAGTTAATAAATAGTAAAGCCAAAGTTGGGGAAAATGTCTGTTTAGCTCACAAATCTCTTTTCTTCTGATTTAGAATTTATGATTTTAAGTATTTACATTGAACAGAGTTCACATTTTTTTTTTAATTCTAGGCCCCCTAGTGTGATATTTGGTAGTATAAAGTTAGAAGCCTATGCTTTAAAATCTGCCTGCTTGGGTTTGAATTCCCACTATGTTTTCTCTCTGCTTTGTGAACTTGAGCAAATTATTTAATCTCTCACTGCCTAATGTTCCTTATCTACTTATGAGGAGGATCTGTGGTGTTGCAGTGATTAAAGTATTCTGCTGCTAACCAAAATATCAGTGGTTCTAATGCACCTGCTGCTCTGCAGGAAAAAGATGTGACAGTCTGCTTGTGTAGACATTTACAGTCCTTGGAACCCTATGGATGGGGTGGGTGGTTCAAGTATTTGTAAGGTATTTGTGAAAATTAAATGAAATGTTTTCAATAGGTATCTGGCCCAGAGTAGAAGCTTAATATCTGTTACATTTTATTCTTACTTAATATTATAGATTAGTTTTTCCTACGTATTCTCTGAACCCGTAGCTAATGCTTTATCTTTTTAGTCAATACTGGCATTGTAGATGTTTTCTATAAGTGTATGTATGAAATATTTTATTTTTTATGTAATTTTCTGGCAAATAGAAATAATTTTTGACTTTGTAATTGTCACAAACAACTTATATTCGTAAAGATTGCCTTGAACACAGGAGGATTGAATACAAAATGTAGTGAATGAGTGGGGCTTTAAGTAGTTAACAATTATTCCCAAACCTGTACAACCAAATTAGATTTATGCAAGGGTGAAAATTATCATTATATCCTTACCTAAAACTCTTGAGAAGATTTTTCTTTTGCCATTTCATTCACTTATTCATTGTAATGATTTATTGGGTATTTTCTATGTGACCAGAATTGCTCTAAGTGCTAATAAAAAAGAAAAACACAGTTCAGAAAAGATTTGCTTTTATGGAACTTAATTTATAGTAGTGGGAGACCGACAATAAGCAAAATAAAGAAGCTAATGATATTGTATATTAGAAGATAATACTTCCTAGGAGAAAAATGAATCAGAAAAGGAGAAAATGGAAAGCTAGTGGTTGGTGGTAGTGGTGGAATGGTAGATTTTTAAGCCTGATAGTCTGAATTTTTTCACATTAAGAAAATGACATTTGAGTAAAGATTTGAAGGGCATTTGAGTAAGATGCATGGTTATTTGGGAAATGAATATTTGAGATGAGGCCAGTGTAAATGTAAATGCCGAAAGCTGGAATAAGCCTGACATGTTTAGAGGTTAGAAAGGACAGGTTAGCCTGTTACTGAAGTACAGAAGCAAGGAAGACAGTAATAGAAGATGAGATCAAAGAGGTAGTTGTTGTTGTTAACTGCTGTTGCATCGATTCTGACTCATAATGATGATCCTATATAAGGATTCTGAGGCTGTACATCTATGAGGGAACAGAAAACCTCATCTTTCTTCCATGAAACTACTGGTGCGCTTGAACTACCAACCTGGTAGTTCACAGTACATTGATTATTGTACAGAACTATCACACTCCCAAAGTTATGGGCCATATTTTGTGAGACCACTTAGGTCAAAGTAATAACTGATGTTGACTCTGAGTATGATAAAAAGCCATTTGTTAAGAGCAAAGAAGCAACATGATTTGACTGAGGATGGAGTCTTCATGTAGTGCTGTGGGTTAATGCGCTGGAATGCAAAGTCAGTTTGAACTGCAAGATCTGTGGTTCAAGCTCACCATTCACTCTTTGGAAACCCTATACAGGGTCGCTATGGGTTGGAACTAACTCGATGGCTCTTCACAGCAACAACAACGCAACTATTATACTGAGAATGGATTTTAGAGGTAAACAAGGGTGGAAACGGGCATCTGTTCAGAGTCTATTGAGTAATCCTATTACAAGAAGATGGTGGCTCAGTCAGAGATTAGTCATATATTTCCTGGTAGGTTGAGTTTAATGGTGGTGGTGGTGGTAGTCTGGGGGTGAGGGACACAGGGGAAAGGTGCTGACAATGTTAGAAAAAGGTGTCTTTGTACTCTTTTCTGGTAAGTGCAAGCATAGCTTTTATTTAATGGAGTATGAATAAAGCCATCTCTGCTATTCCTAAGATTTCTCTTCTTAGTTTACCGGGGATTTTAGTATACACTGTAGGAAATACAGCATGTTATAATTGAAATTACTGATGTTATTTAGAGTAGGAAAGTATTCCTTTAGACCAGAGATTGGTAAATTATGGCCCCTAGGCCAAATCTAAAGGAGCTCTGGTAGCATGGTGGTTATGAGTCTGTCTGCTAAACTAAAGGTTAGCAGGTTGAAACTACCAGCCATTCCTCTGGAGAAAGATGAGGCTTTCTGCTCCTGTAAAGATTTATACCCTCGGAAAACTCCTATGCAGGGTCGCTATGAGTCAGAATTGACTCCATGACACACCACCACCACCACCACCATCACCAGGCCAAATCTAAAGAGCCCTGATGGCACTGTAGGATAAGCATGAGACTCCTAACTGCAAGGCCAGGGGTTCAAACCCACCACCTACTTTATAGGAGAAAGATGAAGCTGTCTGCTCCCCAAAAGATTTACAGTCACTTTGATTTGATGGCAGTAGACGTAGTTTTGCTTTTGGGCCAGATCTAAGACTCTGCTTGTTTTTGTAAATAAAAGTTTATTGGGAAACAGTCACACCCTTTCATTTGCATGGCATCTATGGTGGCTTTTCTACAAAGGCAAAAGAGTCCCACAAAACCTAGAATATTTATCATCTGACCCTTTACAGAAAATGCTTTCTGAACCCCTGGTTCAGGCCACTGTTGAAGAGTGGTATCATCTTTTTCCTTTGATGTTTTTCTAACCACTCAGAATATTTAAGTATGATGAAAACAATGTAAAAGGGGATATGGAAAGACACTATTGAAAAGTTGGATTGACTGAATTGCAATGGCTTATTAAGAAATACTAGCATCAGCGTCTTTCTCTCTCTTATATTAATGAACCAGTTTCTCTGCCCTGCGTGTCCAGTCCCTCCTAATCTCTGTTGTACTTTTTCGGGGTTGAGGAATAAGTGCTGCTGACTAGCCTGGAAAAAAAAAAGTATGCTTTTCTCAGCAGTAAAAACTTAACTGTAAGAATGAATCTTGAATGATAGAGACCAATTGCTGAATGTCACAGCCTTGATAGAAAATAAAATATGAGTACTAGCATCAATCTTTATAAAGAATTTAGCTCTCTTCTCATGACTCTGTAATACAGTGCAGATGAGTTCGATTTCCAATGTTGTTTGCTTTTATAGGTCTATAATGACGGATCTGTACTACCTCAGTCAAACAGATGGAGCAGGTGATTGGCGGGAAAAAGAGGCCAAAGATCTGACAGAGCTAGTCCAGAGGAGGATAACATATCTTCAGGTAAGGTTAGGTTAAAGAAGAAACTTTAGAAGAAAAGAAGGAAAATTATGATAAAACTAAAATTAAGCATTGCTGTTGGTCGTTAATCTTCTAACCCTTGCCTTGACAGCATTTACTAATTTCACGTATTTATTTAGAAAGTCACCATATTATGCCTTGAATGGAATCCAAAGATAACTAATAAAGGATGTCTGCCCTAATGGGGACTATTTATTACACACACAAATAAACCAAAAAATTATAATACACTGTAGAAAATGTTATATTTTATAAGAGATAAAGATGAAATGCTTTTTTGAGTTTTTAGGACGGATCACTAGAAATGACATTGTGCAGGGGGTATTATTTGAGCTGAATAAAAAATAGGTACAATTTCGGCAAAAATGGAGAATAACATTCTAACTGGAGGATGTGATGTGAGTCAGTGGCCCATAGGTAGGAAAGAGTAGTAAAAAGGAAACAAACCTTTTTGCCATCGGGTCACTTCTGACTCATAGCGATTGCAGTGCAGTGAATTACTTCATGTGTCTCTTCTACCCATAGTCTTTGTAATTACCACCAGACAGTGTTTTTGCCCACACGGATCTGGCTGGATAGGAGAAGGTGGGAGAAGATGCTGAGATCATATGATTCAATTGTGAATGATTAACATCAGTATTTATGATTGTAAAAACTTGGAGCACTAATGTGTATAAAATGAGTTATCTCAAAAGCAGCAACAGGAGAACCTCACCGTCAAGGATGAAGAACCAGGATTGGAACACATCCTTTGGATCCCTGTGCATTGAACCTCCTAGATCTAGGGAGAGAAAACTATGCCACCAGCGGAGCAGCAGAGTGTAGTGGCAGAGGAGCAGCAGCAGTAGAATCAAGAACCAGTGCACCAAACAGAGAGGTAGACTTCCCAGCATGCACAAGAAAAGTTGAGTGTCTTCATGAGGCAGAAAACTCACTTGTGGAGTGGAGTGCCTATAGGCATTTAATGAGAGGAACTAAGTTTGCTGACCCACAGAGCTAAAGCAGAATGCTTTATTGCTGAAGCTTGTAGCAGAGTGGAGTGCATTTACCAGCAGTGGTAAAAGGGTTTTGTAACATTGCCTGAAGAGGAAAGAGGCCAAGGGACCAGAGAGAGGCTTACCTGCAAGTACAGCAGAGAAGAGGCTGCCGTGACCAAAGAACTGTAACCTGAACAGTTCTAGTCCTGGATTGTATAACCTTTTTACTTCCCTAATAAGCCCCATAACTGTGAGCATGGTATCTTAGTTCTGTGTGGCCATTACAATGAATTATTCAAACATAGCTGAGTAGAGAGTGCTATGGGAGGGAAGCAGGTTGTCACATGTTTCTCACTTAGAGCAGCTGGTGGGTTCAAACTGCTGACATTTCGTTCAACAGCTGATTGCTTAACCACTACACCACCAGTGCTGTTTGTTTTGCTTAATGATGTATCATAAACATTTAGATATTTTTGGAGTCAAAATAACAAAATGTTTTTACATAGAAACTTGGCTTGATCAGAATAGTGCTTTAGTGATCTTAATCTGAGTGTAGTGTTTTGGTTTAACTGGACTAGTATTAGAAACACTAGAAACAGGGAGACAGGACATTTAAGATAAAAGGACCATAGTGCAGGTGAGAAATAGTGAAGATTGTGGCCGTTTGCAGTGGATAAAGAGAAATTTGAGATAGGTTGGGAAAATAAAATAAAATAGACCTTGCCAAGTAGGTGAATGCGGAGAGATTGCAGGGATACCAGGGACATCAATAACTGACAAGAAATGGAGAGATTAGAATAGTCTTCAGGGAAAAACTATGAGTAGAATTCTTAAATCTGAAAACCTTCTACCTCCATCCTTTTCTAATGCAATTGACAGCACACTCTTCATACAGCTACTCTGCTTTGCAAGGTCATCGTGTCTTTATAAAAACAAAATGATAGGAGGAGTCTTCTGTATATTTCAAGATGCACATTTTTCTACACTTAAATAGGAAAAAATAGAAAATCAAATGTTTAAAGAGATAGTTAAAAACCAAACTGATATTGGCATGCTGTCTTGATCTCACACTCCCATGGCCATTTATCTGAGGTGTCTACAGAATGAGAAAGATTTCACTTCCTGGAGTGAAGAGGTAATTACCTTCTATCAGCTAGAGCCTCATTCAGTGAACCATAAACAGCTGGTGGTACAGAACCACCATCCTCATTTCAAATGGAAATACTTCATACTTCATGATTTGCTTCTGTTTTCCACATGTTCATTAAATTTTCACCTACAAAAAGTTATATTAAACTATGATCTGGTCATAGTTCAGCTCCATACATTGTTGCAACCACCTGCTTTCCTTAGTTGTTTGTCCCTTCTCCCCTTCCTGATTTTTAAGTGACCAAGTGCTGTCACCTGTAGTGCTAATTTAATTGTATGTATGCTGACTATGATTCTGTATTAGAAAATCTCATTTATTAATCATGCTAGTTTTTTAAAACTAAATGAACCTTTTGTATCTCTGAAATTATAGCAAAAGTTTAGTTTCAAATATCGCTATTTAAAAAAAAATTATTTCATGTTATTCTTTTTTTCCATTTGAGGGAAGCAAGTTTTAATATTCAAGGGCACAGAAAAAACCTCAGTAAAATATATTTTGGAAAAATATTTTAATTAATCATGATATCTTTTTCTATTACACTGAAAGTTTTTTAAAATCTGGAACTCTATGAGTATTTAACATATTTGTTAAGGTTAAATATGCCAATTACTCTTCCTCTTCTTTGAATAAAAATGAGTAAGGATCCCTTTACCTGCATCCCAACAAAATTAAACATATATCTGGAAGAAATGTTTTCTCTGACTGAAATTTTTATTCCCAGTACATTTTTAGGCATGACAGCAAATGAAAAAAGAATTTGTTATTGCTATAACTGAATGGATTATTCAAGCAATTTTAAAAAGTTGATATATTTATATAGGTAAAAAAGTAACTAATATAGTTTTTCCTATTCAGGCTGCGAACCTTAAGGTCAGTGGTTCAAAACTACCAGCTGCTCTGCGGGAGAAAGATGAGGCTTTCTACTCCCGTAAAGATTTGTTGTTATTGTTGTTGTTAAGTGCTGTGGAGTCGGTTCCGACTCATAGCGACCCTGCACAGGGTTTCCGAGGCTGTAAATGTTTACGGGAGCAGAACGCCTCATCTTTCTCCCGCGGAACCGCTGGTAGTTTCGAACTGCTGATCTTACAGTTCACAGCCCGATTCGTAACCACTATGCCTCGGCCTTTTGGCTAAGATCAAGTGTAGTACCCGTAAAGATTTACACCCTCGGAAACCCTCCACAGGGTCGCTATGGGTCAGAACCGACTCGATGGCACTTAATAACAACGACAACTTTTTAAAAAAAATTTTCATATTATTTTAAGTGAAGTATTATTGTCAAAAGGCTATTTAAGCAATTTAGACTCTGAAAGACTCCCACAGGGCTTAAGAAAATAGGTGTAGGATACTTGGAAATGAAGCTAAAAAGGAGTGTACATATATATATATATATATATATGTATATATATATATAAACTTTTTTTAATGTTTGATACCTCAAATAAAAATAAATTGATAGGTTAAACAACCAACGTTTTCTTAAATTTCTATCAGACATTTCTATTCAGAGTTGTAGGTTCTTAGTGGACTTCTGGTATGGCATTATAGGATCAGCACTGGACTGTGAATAAGGTCAGCGGTTCAAACCCACCAGCTGCTCCTCAGGAACCCTATCTAGGGTCGCTATGAGATGGAACCAGCTTGACAGCACTTAACAATAACAACAGTGTAGTGAATAGTTACAGATTTTTTTTCTTATAGTTTAGTAACATGATTATAACCAGCCAAACAGTTAATTAAGAAATTACACTGAACATTTAGTCAATCTGCTTTTGGTCCTTTTCTCTTACTTTTCATTTAATCTCATAGCAATAGATAGATATTCTCAAAGTTTAATTTTGAGCTTAGAATTATGTATTATAACTTTAAAGGCATTTCTTAAATTCTGTTTTCCTAGATTCACTTCTAAATATCTGAGTCAGTCATATAAACATTGTACTCTAGTGTTTTTCTGTTAATTATGAAATTAATATGAGAGATTGTTTAAATGAACAAGTAAATTTTGGTAATGTATTCAGAGACCTTATGAATGGTACTCTGGATTCAAATAATTTATCTCTTAAGTAGAGAGTCACAGGGAAAAGATACATTAAAAGCAATGAAAATATTTTAAGTTATTTGGCAGATTAAAATCATTTAATACCTTCTTTTAATCCTGATATAATTCAGATGCTTTTATAATTTACTTCCAGTGATTGGTTTAGTGAACCGTGATTGGTGGGTAGTTTAAAGCATTTTCAGTATCATTAGATTTATACTATTACTGATGAAATCTCCTATCATTTCTTATTTTCATCAGTAATTTATTAAACTCTGATTTTGTTCCAAGTATTGTACAAGACTCACTATAAATAAAACAATCTAGATTAAGGTCTTTTCTTAATCTATAATAGCTTTCATTTTTAATCTAAGATTTTCTTTCTGCAACTCTCTAATCCTTTGAATCGAGCAAAAATTATATCATGAAAATTCTTACAGTCATATAGCACAGTTATGACAAAGAAGTGTGGCCTAGTTTTAGGATTTCACTCATTTAAACGATACCTTGGTTTGTTTGGGAGGGAAATTGTACTGGATTATGTTATAGAAGATACTAGAAAATAAAATGGTACTTTAGACAACTGTAATTTAGTAGGGCAAAGCCCAGGACTTGCCAAGTTAAATTAATTTTCTCTGTAGAATTGAAGTCCCTATAGCATGATATTCAAAGAGTAAATAGATTCAGAGATCATAATGATCTGATTGTGGATAATTGCAGGGATACTATTATGTTTAATTACAGTAGACCAAGCAAATAGTGTATGATGTTAGTCTTTTATATGTTTATCTAAAATTCTTCATCCACAAAGTGAATA